GAGTCTCTTTATCATCAGGGGATTTCAGCTCGTGAGGTTTTTCCAGGTTGCTAAAAATGATATGATTCAATTTCGGTATTCAGTTTTTCAGTTTAACAAAATTTTTCATGCTTCTAGAATGTGTTTGCTTTTAAAAATTTTTCTTCAACTTACAGTTTCGCCTACCTTCTCTGGCTCTGCATGATCCCTTTTGCGGCTTCCTGTGCGCTCGTCATTCCGGGCGTCTCGTGGTTCCGTGGGGTATGGGTTCGCCTCTCATGGTCATGCGGTTGTCTTTCAATTTCTCAATAATGGGGAAACGCCGATGGTCATGGAGAATTCGGATACGGTGATGCCGACATATAGGAATCTAGGTAGGCTTGTTAATGCTGATATGCTGGGGCTTGCACTCATGTACCATCGAGAGGCCTGAATGGACATGTCGCAGAGGGGTTTGTGGTTGCCCATATGTCGGTGGAATTGGCTACGCGAAAGGTCGCGGGGGTGCTCGCAAAAGGGTTATCGGTGTCGGAGGAGCAAATGATGTTGTCTCTGTTGTTGTGAGTGATGAAGGAGGCACAGGGATGTTGGAAGGCAATGCAAATGGTGGTGATAGAGAACTGGAGGGCACTGAACATGAAGTTTCAATACTCGACATTTTACTTAATTCCGTAAGTTTTTACTAGATTCGGAAGAAAAATGAGAGATGCAACTAATATTGAGCACAAGATGAGGATGAATTCATATCAATTTGGCGTCCAAAAAGACGGAAAAGAAAACCCAGCAGTTTGGAATATAAAAAATTCAACGAACACATTGATGCTTGTGTCATCAGCAGAAGGCGGTATGCGAGAAAACAAATGCTGTCGTTCAACCCCAGACGGCTGCACAGGGACTCGATGGTCTTTTTCGAACATGCTGGGAGTGTCAAAAACGGCATTGTCATCATGAACGACCCTTTCGTGTTCCAGTGCACAGTTCGGTTGGTCGACAAACCTCAGGATACTACGGGGAAAGGACCATCAGGCAGTGGCAGTTTAGTTGTTAAGTACTCCGATTTGAGAAACGAGTCACAAGGCAAATCAAGGAAACGAAGCGGAAAATTTCTGCGATACGAGTTCATAAAAATCAAAAGATTAAGGATGCTGAGAAACCTAGACCCAAACAAAAACGCTCAGCGTCCAAAGCCAAAAAAAAACATACAAGGAGGAAAACCGCAGGAAGATATTTTGAGGAGCCTTGATTACTTTGAGTTGCCAGAAAAAGACATTACCTCGAAATTTTCTCCATGCATCAAGTGTGTAAAAAAGGCAAATCTATCATGTAACTAATCAAATGTGTAAGTTACCCACTAAATAATCACGTCCAACTATCCTGATAATCTGTATATGGTTATTTTGACTTCATCTGATATCCTGAAAATTTATACTGCATTTCCGAATGCAATAATTTCATAATATTATTGGTATTAAAATTTACGTATTCTAATTATACACCGTATTCTGATTTAAGATTATGGCTAGGATCGACTACCTTGCGCGCAGGAGAAAAATTCCGTGTTGATTATTTGAATCTCGATTGCACGAAGAAACGAGCAGTTGCTGGAATGAGTTCCGTCGAAAATTAGGATGTCACCGTGAGGATGCCTTCTGTTATGGCGGAGCTTGCTGAAGACGAGTTTTTGGTATTTAGCTGTTTGTTTCAGTTTTGACGTTTTCCCAAAAACCATCATAGGGTTTTTTCTTGTGCTTTGTTTTAGATTTCACTCACCCAATTAGCCAAGTTTTTGCAACGTTTTGGGCAAAAAAAAGATGCATGGCTTGATTAGGAAAAAAACAGAGCAAACTTTTATATTGGTTCCAGCTAGACCATTAACCAGAAACTCTGATTAAATCTCTCAAGTTTAACGAACGCAGAGGTTTCCTCAGGAGCTTATTTCGATGCCATATAAATGCATGCCGTGTTAGATATACCGTCGACAATAACTACCGAGAAGTATTTAGACATAATCTGGCTGAGACTTTTTTAATATTTCTATTTAAGTCCTTCAGATTAACCGTAAGTTTCCGTAGTCTTTTTACAGTATGCAATTTGTGTTATATGGTCTGAAAATTATCCTGGCTCGTCGAATTTGCTCATAGGGAGTATATTATCAATTTAAAAAATAATAAATTCAATAAATCCGTTTTAGATAAGATATAACAAAATTTGAACAACTGCAGCTGAAATAAATGTTAATTTCAAATAGAAACGTAGAATTCTTAAAATGTTGCTTTATCAAACTATATGTTTGCAATTTGAAAACACTTGAAAAATTTAATCTAAAGTTTTTCCCTAATAATTGAATTAGTTGATTGGAATGAATGGATTAATTTAGATGCGAGTTTACATCATAGTTTGTTCAAATTTTTCTTCTTGCAGAAATTGAAATTGATGGCAGGAATTGAGAGCCAACGTTTTAGGATCTGATAGGTAGTGACAAGTTACCACATGCATTGTAAATTGAGCCAAATCAAGCGGTTGCACCAAAAAATATTAGCGCTTGGTAAAACAACCCTGAGAACGGAAGTAGACAAATTACGCAAAACAAAGAGCCCGGGCAAAAATATTTCACGGCGGCAGTAAAAACTAGATATAAAACCTAACAAATAATTTGTGAGTTGAGCCGCTACGGTGACTCATTTTGGTGTTAATAGTTTCCCGGGAAAAATTATAATGGACATTAAAAAAAGAATAGCTTGGCAAGTTACTAATGGTGTAGGTATTAAACTTGATAGTTAGGACCCCCATGGGATTACGAATCCAAATAGAGAAAATTGTCCCCGAGTGACCCCAGGGTGACAATTAATTAATCTTTACGCGTTGAGGACCAAAATGACATAGAAAATCTCGTGATCAACGCCGGAAAATACTCAACTCTTTGAAATGGGAGTCGATCAAGTCACTTATAATTGGGAGGAAACTGATCTAGTGGGAACTGAAGCAGAAGCTGAAGTAGTATACTTTTAACATTGCAACATTGAATTAGTGGAATTCAATAAAGTGCAGACGGCAAACATGGGGTTCAGCTAAGCTTGGTGAATCTGCTTTTAATCGAAAAGTAGGCCTAGAACCTATCGGTAGTAATAAGAGCGAGAAATGGGAGGAAAACCACCAAATAGTCACAGAAAAGTAGTGCCAGAGAATATCGGCAGTAATAGGAGAAAGAAATGGGAGTAAAACCTTTAAATGGTCCCAGACAAGAGTACCAAAACATATCGACAGTAATAGGAGCGTGAAAAGGGAGTAAAACACCTAAAGAGTTCCAGACAAGTAGTCCCAGAACGTACCGACAGTAATAGGAGCGTGAAATGGTAGTAAACATAGCTGAATAATCAGATCGGAAAGGATATTCACTTAGCTCTCCAGTGATGACTTTTCGGCATAACTTGACCCCTAATGGGCGAATTACGTTACCCTAATAACTTGAAACTCGAGATATTTTTAGACTCTTGAAGTGAATTGTTTATCCTTGAAAGAGGTTTTTCACTGCCCCGGGAGACCATCAGAGGAAAATTCGGGTTCGGACCTTGCGAATGGGTACCAGAGTAAATGTCAAGACTTGCAGGGACTTTTATAACTTTAGCTATAGCTATAACTAAAACTCAAATTAACCAACACAGCGGAAAATTTACGGGTAGCCTACACTTAGACAGAACAGTCAATTCTCGAAGTTAGTTAGATCACAGTTATTGCAGAGACATTTTATAGTTGGCTCTCAAAGTTAGTTAGAGAACAATTGCGCTATGAGAGCTAAGGTTAGTTCTCGAAGTTAGTGAGAACAGTTAGTACCGAGTTAGAGAATAGTTGGTTCCCGTAGTCAGAGAACACTGTAGAGAACTTATTAATTTTGCAGGTCAAACTGAGTAGTTGTGCGGAATAAAGGGGGCGGAACTAAACAGTTCAGATTCTCTGAAGCGGGAAAGTCGTTGAGTTGAATTAAAGTATTCGATAAATCGCGGACCCTTTTTTTTGTTGAGACTATTAGATCATATTCTGGCCAATCAGAGCCTTCTTGAATTAAACTTATATTAATCTGAATTCACTTACAGTTTGAAGTTCTTGCGATAGTGAATGCGAGGGATACAGCCACAGTAGCAGTCACAAAAGGGAGTTCTTGCAACATAGTAGAGTATGTCGCCAATTTAACATTTTAACCCTTTCGAGATTTTGTATAGTATTGAATCTCGGTGGTTTCACTGAATTCAATTCTCAAGGGGGTGCGGTGCAGTTAATTAAGAGAGAGAATGGACCTAGAAAAGCAATCACCTAAACCTACCTTGCAGTTCAAAAATTTATATAAGTTTTGATATTTCAATTTTCAAACGAAAAATTGATGTAGCAATTCATACCAGAAATTAATTTAAAAAGACTCTTAAAATTATCGTGCAAATTGACTGAATGTAAAAGATGTTGTCAGAGGTACAGAAGAATTAATTTCGTTTTTGTTTGCAAAAAATAACATTTTCATTTTCCTCTCAAATCACTTCTGAATCGATTAAATTTAGTATTGAAGTTTCATATCTACGTAAATGGGATGAAACACAGCAGTCAACATTAGTTACTGCAAACATGAATAAAAGTTATTGCAGTTACAAGACGGCTCGTATGAGTGCGAACTTATAGAAGTTTTGAGAGCACTTGAAGTTAACTAATGTGTCCTGTCCTAACTTGGGTTTTCAGCAATCTTCAAGTTTTCCCTAAGTTTGAATTTTAGTTCATAATAGTTGAATCCGATTGTTGTATCAAAAATAATCAAAATATTCAAAAGCGGATCTAAGTTTTTTTTGATCGGACAGCCGAAAACATCCATAATTTGGCCTCAAATGTCTTCGGCTTGAAGTCTTGTCGATTTGACATCTTAAACCATTTTAAGTCTGCCATCTATGCGCTAGTTGCAAGTTGCATATGGCGCATTAACGCAAACTTCTTAGAAATAGACTGGATATAATTTCCTAGCGTTTGGTTAACTATTTCTGACACAGATTCAGCAATCATGCGACATTAAATCGTACTTTACGCAAATCTCAACAAAAAGAGAAATTGATTTTTTTTATTTTTTCAAAATGCAATCGTTCACCCAGACTGTAAACACGCTTTTGGCGCTCATAATTGTAAGGTTAGTCTTTAAATATATACATTTTTTCAGATACGAAAACCTCAGAACGTGATTGTGGGTTTCCTGTAAGTTGCAAACATAGGATAAAACTGTTTTACGTGCCGAGGCATGTTTATTTTTAATCCAGGAACAAAAAATTCGATGTGCTGATTTCGAAAACGGTAATTACACCAGATTGTCGATATACTTCTCAGAATTTGTCAAGTTCTTGACGGGGTCCACAGAAGTCCTGAGAATCGTGTTGATTTAGTCGAGAGTGTTTATGGAATCCTAGCTTCAGTTTCTGAAATTAATGCCCATGTGAACTCAAAGGGTCAACAGCACATGTATAACCACTGTCCCCGAAACTGGAGAGCAAAAATTCTTTCTTTTTGGTATATTAGAGGAACCAAGTGAACTATCTTGCCCTCTTCAAAATCAGGAGTTCACTTGGTAAAAATTAAAAATTTTCAGCCAATCAGATTTGAGCATAATGAGCAGATTTTTGTTATACGGCCCAAAATACGTCGGTGAGGGGCCAACAAGCTAAAAATAAGAGTACCATATTCCAGCTAGCCGAGAATTAAAAATATTATGCAACATGACACCAGATTGTCAATATTGTTATGTAATTTAGTTTATGTAATTTAGTTTATTTCGATGCAGGGGCGGATCTAGGATTTTCTTGAGGGGGGGGGGGTTGAACTTTAATTTTTATTTTTTGAAAATTTTTTCGACCTTTTTTTGGGTTGACCAAATTATTATTCCGAGCTCCCCCAAGTCACTAAAAAGACCCTGTTTTTTTGGCGCGCACTCCCCCCTCAAAATTAGTATATATTGGCGCCAAAGGCGCCTTCAGAAAATGTTTACGGTCCGTCGCCAAATATGGATATCTGAAAACAGTACCCTTTGGGTCAGCAGGGGATCGAATCCCTGAAGAAATACGAGGTTTTTGAAATACATGTGATACAGTAAAAACGTGTTGTGAGCGGTTTTGCTTAGTCCTAACCAACGTTTCCAGAAATAGGCATAGCTGCATTCCAGACATAGCTATATTCCATATGTCGCAGAAGGTATAATAATTGCATCTAAAATTTTTGAGCTGACAGTTCTGAAGGTTTTTGAGGATTGAATTTTGCAAAAAACGATTCCACAGTTTTGATGCCTTTTGTGCGTAGATACTTCACGTGAGCTTTTTGCTTTTATTCCTTATGAAATAATGATGCCAATGGAAGGGTTTTCTGGGACACATTCAAGTGCTTTCTCCCAAGTAAGTTATTTTAGAGTGAGCTGCGATTCATTTTTTGTCGATTATCAGCATGACCTTCTTTTTATCGATGTTGACTCATAAAACATTATTGTCACAGTAAAAGGCTTTCTGTACAGTTCAAATTGAAGATCTAGTTGTGTTTTTTTCCAATACATGGCCATCAGCGTTAAAAAAGTGGTAAAACCCTGGTATGTTCCAGAACTTGTGCTGGATCAGCTGTGTATAATAAACAGATAGAAGTGGAGCCAGTTGGTAACCTTGTGAAACGCCTTTGTTCTGCGTGACTTTGTTGGATAGGTAGACTTGATCCGATACTCATATGTGATTGTACTTCATTATAATGGTCGCAACGGATTAGTCGCGACGGATCATCATGGTCGAAAAAGTCTGGAAATGCCAGATTTTGGTCGCCAAAGTCAGGACATGTCTAATTTTGGTCTGGAAAGTCTGTACATGCCAAAATTTTGTCGCGAAAGTCTGGACATGAGTCTATGACCTCGACCTGGGTATTGCTTTTAAGTTTGATAGAAAATTTTCAGATGAAACATTTCGGCTTAGTGTCTTCAGCAAAGGCTACTGCTCAGACTGTGCAATGCATTTCTGGAATTCGCAAAGCAAATATAAACTTTTCTCGATGTTGTGTTTGCTGTAGTAATTGATTTGATCAGTTTTTTGAGTGTTGTTATTGTTGATTTTACTTTAAGGATTCCGTACTGCCTTTTTGGGATAAGGTTGTTTTTTAAAGAAAACTCTGTCAGTCTTTCTTTTAAGAATCTGGTGTATATAATAAAAATGGTGTTGTTCACAGCTGTTCCCCTGTAATTATCCGGGCTCTATGGTGTGCCTTTTTCTTTGAAATTTTTTTGCAACTGTGTAATGTCTATTTTGCTCTGGAATTGTTGACGAGTAGAAGCAACAGTCTAGTAGCAGTTTTAAAACCTCGGCTAGCATATTATGTTAGTTTTGATGTATTCGTTGGCTATTTCATCTGGGCCAGCGGTTTTTTCGACTTTAACCAATTAATTGCAATAACTAATTCATTTAGGCTAATAGGGTGGTCTAGTTGGTCAAGATATTGGACGCCGTTTTTATTAACTTCAGTTTGAATTTTCATTTTGCTGTCGTAATATAATTTAGTGAAGTGGTTCTCCCAAGTGATTAGTGATATAAAGGTTTTTTAATTTTGACTTGTTTATTTTGAGTATGTTCCAAAGTTTCGGTATGTCTATTTCCGCGTTTTCTTTGATTCGTTCGGTTTGTTTCTTTTCAATGCTGGTTTAACTTTCTGGCAGGTTCTTTTGTAAAAGTTTTTTAGCAAACCCGTTTTCTTTCATTTCAAGTATTGCTTTTTTTTTCGCTTCATTGCTGCATAACAAGCTGCGTTGAACCAGGTTCTCTATTTTTGTTTCCTTTCTGGTAATTGCAATAGGTATTTACATTTCTGTAATGTTCCGTACAATTCCCATATTTGAGAATAAATCTGGGTGTCTAGCAGTTTCTAACTGATTTTTCAATGCTAGTTGCTATCTACAGTGCTGATTGTTCCGACTTTTGTAACGAAATTAACAGAATATTTGTGCTCGGGGTGGGTTTTTCTTCAGACAAGTTTCAGTTTTTCACCTGTGATCATTTTTTGTTAAGTTATGGGGGTTTGAAGATTGCCATTTTGGCCAATTGTAATTTTTATCCCGACTTTTGAAGAAAAATGTGGCGTATTTATGTTTGGTGTGTTGTTTTTATTCAATGAAATTTCGACTTCTTTGTACCATCTGAAAAATATTGTTGTCTGAAACTAGAATGTAAGCAAAATATAATTTACTCACAATCAGTTTTCACAAGTTATCATTGTTGTTCCGACTTTCGCAACGAAAGTAACAGAATATTTGTGCTCGGGGTGGGTTTTTTTTCCTCAGACAAATTTCGACTTTTTAACTAGCCATTTTTGACGGAATTTTTTTAAAAATCATTCAAAAGGTATTGGTGTCCTGGCCTTAAGTTTGAAAAGATATTTCACTTGTGACCATTTTTTGTAAAGTTATGGGGTTTAAAGATTGCCATTTTGACCAATTTGGGACAATTAACGCGCAATTAACGTGTGAGCGGAGATTTAATCCGTCTTATAAATCGTTCCAAATTGGTTGAAAGAAAGCTTATTTGCCATAATTGATTTGTTGCAATGAGCGAAATCTATTCTTTTCTTTTTAATATGGAGTGTGGGTTTATGGTATCAAAAAAAAATCAAATTTTAGAATTTTTTTTTTCATTTAATTATATTACCTATAATTTTTTAATGTTATTACTGCTCCATGAACCTTGAAAGGCAGTCGAAACATTTAGGGCTTCGCCCTGATACGAGCAGTCTTATTTTTCCGACTTTCGATACGAAAGTAACGGAATATTTGTGCTCGGGGTGGGTTTTTTTTTCTTCAGACAAATTTCGACTTTTTAACTGGCCATCTTGTAGCAGTTTTAAAACCTCGGCTAGCATATTATGTTAGTTTTGATGTATTCGTTGGCTATTTCATCTGGGCCAGCGGTTTTTTCGACTTTAACCAATTAATTGCAATAACTAATTCATTTAGGCTAATAGGTGGTCTAGTTGGTCAAGATATTGGACGCCGTTTTTATTAACTTCAGTTTGAATTTTGATTTTGCTGTCGTAATATAATTTAGTGAAGTGGTTCTACCAAGTGATTAGTGATATAAAGGTTTTTTAATTTTGACTTGTTTATTTTGAGTATGTTCCAAAGTTTCGGTATGTCTATTTCCGCGTTTTCTTTGATTCGTTCGGTTTGTTTCTTTTCAATGCTGGTTTAACTTTCTGACAGGTTCTTTTGTAAAAGTTTTTTTAGCAAACCCGGTTTCTTTCATTTCATTTATTGCTTTTTTTTGCTTCATTGCTGCATAACAAGCTGCGTTGAACCAGGTTCTCTATTTTTGTTTCCTTTCTGGTAATTGCAATAGGTATTTACATTTCTGTAATGTTCCGTACAATTCCACAATTGAGAATAAATCTGGGTGTCTAGCAGTTTCTAACTGATTTTTCAATGCTAGTTGCTCTCTACAGTGCTGATTGTTCCGACTTTTGTAACGAAATTAACAGAATATTTGTGCTCGGGGTGGGCTTTTCTTCAGACAAAGTTCAGTTTTTCACCTGTGATCTTTTTTTGTTAAGTTATGGGGGTTTGAAGATTGCCATTTTGGCCGATTGTAATTTTTATCCCGACTTTTGAAGAAAAATGTGGCGTATTTATGTTTGGTGTGTTGTTTTTATTCAATGAAATTTCGACTTCTTTTGAACTTTTTGTACCATCTGAAAAATATTGATGTCTGAAACTAGAATGTAAGCAAAATATAATTTACTCACAATCAGTTTTCACAAGTTATCATTGTTGTTCCGACTTTCGCAACAAAAGTAACGGAATATTTGTGTTCGGGGTGGGTTTTTTTTCCTCAGACAAATTTCGACTTTTTAACCAGCCATTTTTGACGGAATTTTTTTTAAAAATCATTCAAAAGGTATTCTTGTCCTGGCCTTAAATTTGAAAAGATATTTCACTTGTGACCATTTTTTGTAAAGTTATGGGGTTTAAAGATTGCCATTTTGACCAATTTGGGACAATTAACGCGCAATTAACGTGTGAGCGGAGATTTATTCCGTCTTATAAATCGTTCCAAATTAGTTGAAAGAAAGCTTATTTGCGATAATTGATTTGTTTTCTATTTGTTTTGAAACCTATTTTTTTCTTTT